AAATGTTTATTCTTATCCAAACTTTGAATCTGACCACAGGTTTGACAACAATTCTGTCACAAATAAGCTATTAGGCTTTGAGCAACAAGGGGAAAATGTTAAACAAAGCATGTCATTGATCTCAATTGCTTGTCTTTTTGCATTTCTCAAAGCTCATGCAGAAGAGAACTGGAGTCTAAGACATCATAACTTAACAAATTTGGAAATGATTCAACAGACATAATGTAAACTCAGTATATAGGAGCTGGAGAGATGGCTCAGTTAGTAAAGTGCTTGCCATGCATGCATGAAGACCTGAGTTTCCCCTGCACTCATGTGAAAAAAAAGTGTGTCCAGTGGCGTATGCCTATAATCCCAGCACTGATGAGGCAGAAACATGGGGCTGGTTGGCCAGGCAATCCAGCCAAATCACTAAGCTCCAGGTTCAATGAGGGAGCCTGTCTTAAAAATTAAGGTGGAGAGTGGTTGATTGAAGAATGATACCTGATGGGACCTCTGGTCTCCACATGCATGCACACACATGGATGTGCACTTTCACACACATGTGCATATGTTCATGTGTGTATACACACAGACACATACACACATATGCACACAAAGGTAAAAAGCATCATATAGTTTAAGTTTTGTGACCATGACAAGCCAGAGCATGTGGCCTTCACTGAGATTGTAAATCATGATGGAGAGACCCTCTGCCAGAAGTCAGAAAGGGAGCTTCAACTTTCACCTCAGATGCTAACTGTGCAGCATCTACACCAAATTACTTCTTTCTGGAGCTCAGTTTCCTCATCTAGTAAATGAAAGAAGTCATGGTAACAGATATTCTCATGAGCTTCCTGACTTTAAGATCCTTTTTTAAAGGTAATCCCTGCAAGCATATGAACAGGACAGGCCTTAGAAAGCCAGGGTTTGAGAAAGGAAAACATTATTTTCCTTGTTCATGAATGTATTTCTTGTATATGATATATTGTGTTAGATAATTCTTGTTCTGTTCATGTACATTAATGGTGATAACACGTAAGATCTACACTCTTGGCAAATTTCTGTATATTACACGATATTATTAACTGCAGTCCCCATGTTATCTATGCCCAATGACACTTATTAATACTAAATTAACTTTCCCTTCTGACCAACATCTCTATGTTTCTCCCACCCTGTCACCTCTAGTGATCACCATTCTCTGTTTTGCTAAGAAAAATAGAGTTTTAAAAGTTGGAAAAGATTAGCAGATGACTCATTCTTCCAATGAAAGTGGCAAGAGTCATGCTGCTTGAATCATGCCATCTGGATACCAGATAATTGTGCCAGGTTTCTAAAACTCTAGCCTTCTGTTTATCTTTAGTTACCAAAATCCATATGTCATTGTTCTTAGAAGTTCTCGTGTGTGTGTGTGTGTGTATGTGTGTGTGTGTATGTGAGAGAGAGAGAGAGAGAGAGAGAGAGAGAGAGGGCTGTTTTTACATATAAGGTATTTTTTTAGAGGGTGAAATAGTGAGAGAGAGAGAGAGAGAGAGAGAGAGAGAGAGGGCTGCTTTTACACATAAGGTATTTTCTTGGAGGATGAACTAGTAAAATTAAGAGTATAGATGGAGGCTGAGCTTCATGACTGATTATCTTCAAAGAGTTGATTTTAGTTGATCTATGTCCACTGAGACAGATCTTTAATTTGAAGTGTCAAGGAGATGTTTCCTGAACGCCATCCTAAATTCAATACTTTTATTGTTGTCTTAAATAGGAACATTGATAGCAAGACTAAATGCATAGATGGTACAAATTTTGGAGGGGCAATAATATACTTAACATTAATAGGACCCAAAAAGCCTTTTGGGGTTTGAAATGGACTTTTAGTGTGCTTCAGTCATGTATATGGTAGGAAGAGGTGCCTCAAGGTAGGTAGGACTCAGGGGTTCTTTATCTAGTATCATTATTGTTCATTGGTATTTTTACTTCCAGGGCAGTTAGACTAGATAATTTCTTGGTAACAGAACAATTCTCTCTCTCTCGCTCTCTCTCTCTCTCTCTCTCCCTCTCTCTCTGTGTCTCTCTCTCTCTCCCCCTATTTAAATGTAGAGTTATTGCATGAGGTAGGAATTAATCTTCAAAGTTAGAGAGTTGTGCAATTAGAGCTAGTACATGTTATTACACTTTTCATTGAATTTCTGACAGAGAATTACCTACTGCCTAATGATTTTGGGAAAATATTTGCACTGCCAGAATTGCATTTTCTATTTAACAAAAATAATTCTAGCCAATCGTGTTACTATGTCATTGGTTTGTCAAGATGAGTGTTAAGAGTACTGTGTTGAGAGCTATGGACAAACAAAAGTTCTTTTCTCTCAACTTGGTGTGGGGGAAATGATCAAATATTTGTACAATTTACTTCTGTGCTATGTGGTGATGTTCGATAGAGGGCACATGAGAAGTCCTGCAAATACAGTGGGAACGCTGGGATGGACAGAAGAGGAAATAATGTGTGTATGATCTTGGACGATCCTTTTCAAAGAGATAGAAACTTGATCTTCATTCCGGCCAAACTACTGACGATCTCTGTTGCAGCCTTTCACCTTGGAAGAACTAAAGATTTTATGTGGAACCTTATAATTCTTACACAAATTTGCATAGGAAAATTGAGACAAGAAATTTCACAGCCTGGAGTCTTTTTTCAGGTTTATCAGGCCTAATGCAAGGGTTAACTTCAGAGGGTTTTTGTGTGTATGTAATAGTGAGGATTGAACCTAAGGCCTCACACATGCTAAGTAAGTGCTCTACCACTGAGCTATTGCCCCAACCTAACTAATTTCTTTTTTCAGTGTGTTCCTTTTTAATTGAAATGGGAGCTCTCTACTGTTCTTCACCATCAGCTGCTCTGTTCTGCTAATTAGGGAATGAAATCAAGAACATGCTTTGGCTCTGGCAGAGGGAGAAAAGAGCAGGTGTCAGAACTCGTATTGAACTAGCCAGGGGTCTGTTTACCAGTCTATCATTCTCCAGCAGCAGATCAGCAAGGGCAAACATGTCAGCTGTGAGCCAACAGTTCTTTTTCCAGAAGTTTGGGGATACTCCTGGCTAAGTAAGGCTTTGCTGTGCCCCAAGTACTATAATATCAGGACAAGTCCTTACTGCCTGCTAACCATTTTAGCACAGCAAAAATTGGATTGTCTGAAAAGTGTTGGCAATCCATAAAACAAGTAGGCAGTGTCATTTTTTTTAAAACTGAATATGGGGGCTGGAGAGAAAAGTCATTGGTTAAGAGCACTGGCTGCTCTTGTAAGAGAACCCAGGTTTGTTTCTCAACATACATATGCTGGCTCACAACTATCTATAACTCCAGTTCCAGGGGGATCTGATGCAGTCTTCTGGCCTCTGCTGGCTTTGCATGCTTGCATATGGTGCAATTGCATACATACAGGCAAAACACTCTTACACATAAAGAAAAATTAAAAAAGAAACCATCAAATATGTTCTAAGTGGAGAAGACTTTGGAGGGATCATGGCTATGGTGTTTCCAATACTGTGATATGGCTGTGGGTTCCCAATACTGTGATATTCTGGGGATGGAGAGATGGCTTACCAGTTAAGAGCACTGGCTGCTCTTGCAGAGGATCTGGGATTGGTTCCCAGCACTTACGTGGCAGCTAAAAATGGTGCATAACTCCAGTTCTAGGTTATATTATGTCCTCTTCTGGCCTCTGTTGGAATTGCATGAACGTGGTACACTTACATGCAGACAAAACACTCATACACATAAAATGAAAATAAAGTAAAAAAAAATAACTGTGATATTCTGTTTTATAGTTTCAGATTTCTGTGCTCTTCTACACTGGTCTCCCTAGCCCTGGCCAACTTGCTCCAAATTCTTGTAATGTCACGTTTTAAAAAGTATTTTAAAACTTCTATTTTTTAAATTCTAATTCTCTTTCTCTGTCTCTGTCTTTCTCTCTGAAAGGGTATGTGCATGTGACTGCAGGTGCCCATAAAGGTCAGAAGAGGGTGTTGGATCCCCTGGAGTTACAGGCAGTTGTAAGCTGCTCAGCGTGGGTGCTGGGAACTGAACTCTGGTCCATCTGGAAGAGCAGCACATGCTCTTAACTGCTGAGCCATCTCTCCAGCTCCTGCAGACTCACAATTAAACCTCTTTTTTAAATTAAACCTCTTTTTTATTATACTGGAAATAGTCTGCAGCTGAGAATCTACAAATGTGTGTACTAGCTCTGGCTTTATCAGTACTGCCGAGTTTTCCCATCTGAAAATCGAATATTTAGCTCACAGTGCACAGTTGGTTTTGTTGAAAATTGTATTATGTGAAGGTTGATGGCCAGCATAGATACAAGTTAATATTATTACTTAAGCTTCATAGTGGAGGCTAGGAATATTTGGAAATAGCTTTACTTAAATTTTCAGTCGGTAAAAACTTTGTCTCCAGATTAAACTTCCTGATATGCTGTGAACACTACGCTGGTTCAGTGACTGTTTTTTTGTCTGTTTGTATTGATTCCCATTTTCTTTCCCTCTTCTCCCCCACTTCTCTCCCTCCCTCCTTCCTTCCTTCTGTCTCTGTCTTTCTGTCTTTCTGTTCCTCACACACATTCATAGTAAAAACAGGACAAAAAAGAAGAAAAAAAGCTGCACTTCTTGGCATAGACATGGAATAACCAAGAAATTATGAATTTCATGATGTTAGCATCCTTAAGACTCTGAGTCTACCTTGGAGTTCAATTTTATTTCTGTTTTATGTGTGTTTATTTATTTATAAAGTCCACCTTCATTCATAAGGGATTTGAAGTTGCCAAGCTTTAACTTGTTTAAAACTTCAGGTGGTGTTCCAACTGATGAAGACTATGTTCCTCAAATCTTCAAAGGGAAAATAAGTCACCAAATTTTGCTGCAAAAATAGAAGCATCAACTTTTCCACATTACACGAAAATTATTAAGGACAGTGATTCAGACATTTCCTGTGAAATCTCTTCAGCAAATTCATTGAAGACCCATGTAGATGAACAGTTTGCTCATGGCTTCCAGTGGAATGTAACGCAGGGAAGAAGAAATATAAACAATTTTTCCCCTGGGATTCCTCATCATCATGTAAGTATAATGTCTATTTTTCAATATGTTTAATTGGAAGCATTGGGCATGTCTGTAAGCAATTTCTATAAGCATGTATGTAAGATTGGATGGGAAGAAAAAAGTGTAGTCAAATTTCCAGCAGATGAGAACAGCTTTTTTTGTCTTAAATTGTTGCACCCTGTGTACTTGTTAAGCAGTTTTCTTATTACATATTTTTGCTTGTTGGTGAATGTGACTGTTTGTGTTCTTTCTGGCTGGACTCTGAGCTGATGGGGGCAGGGTACCATGTTTTTATCTTGAGTATTTCTGTCTTTGGTGCTGTAATCAGTACAGATTATAGTATGCAATTCACTATTGGAAAATGAAACTGTATAGCCAATCCTACCACTCTGGTAGTAGTTTCCATTTTCAGTTTAAATAGTCTGACGTCATAAAAATTTTTCTTGGCCTTACTATAAAATACTAAATAAGTATTTTCTATTTTGTGTATAAGAGCACATGTAATTCAGGTTGGCAATGTAAACAGAGTTTGTGTACTAACTTTAATTCATCTGATCAGATTTCAGTTTGCTTTAAAATGTATTTACATTTTTCTTTTAAAATTATTAACGAAGTATAATTGTTATACAAAATGGTCACATATTTACTGTATACAATTTATGAGTTTGAACATATACACGCATCCAGGAAGCCAGTACCTTAAACACATTCAGATTGCTTTTGACAGCATGATAATATGAAGTCTTACTTTGTGTGGTTGGGAGCTGCTGGGTTCCACATCCTTCTGAGGTGATGTAACTTGACATTTGCACGAATTCACTCATGCAAGGGTCTTTGAAGTGGTATTCCTGGCCCAGATAAGGCGCTATGGCTGTCTACAACAGTCTTAATAGCAGTTTTTTATTCAGTTTCCTGCTCTGGCCCATTTCACCCTAAACATTATTCATGAAGGACCCCCTTTATGACCAACAAAGGTATAAAATATGATGACCAAGTCTTGTGGACTAGTGACTTGTGGACTTTTTGTGTTAGGGAGAAACTTCTAGGCTTTTGTTTTTGTTTTTTTTTAAGTGAGAACAGGGCACCTGATTTTCTCTTAAAAATGAAGAAGGGGTGAATGGAAATAGACACATAGAGGGTAGTATATCAGGTCTCACCATGGTTGTCTTTTGTGATGTAAATACTTTTGAACAAAATGACAAGTGAAGGATATTTTCTTGGGCATTTATTTGTCTTCTTTACTCTTTCAATATTTTATTTTGTACCCAGTGCTTTCCTTTTTCCTTATTCCACTTATAAACAAACACCTTAAAACCGATGTCTTATAATGTCTGTGGCAAGCACTTAACATACTGTCTTGAAAATAATTGGCATTCTATACATGATTATTGATTTATATTGCATTGAAATAATTTTATCACTTCTTCAGGAAACTTACGATTACCTCCAGAAGTAACAAGAAAAGAGGAAGACAGTTGTGTGAGATCTTCAGATAGAGAACTCATGGAAATTTGTCCCAATGGGAAATGTTGTCCTAAATATTGCTCTGAGTACAGCTGTTCTCAGACTAGTAAGAATTCCTAAAACTCAGTAACATTTATCTTTTTGTTTGTTTTGCTGTTTTGGAAACAGGGTTTCCCTGTAGCCCCAGGTGGCCTGGAACTTGCTATGTAGAGCCAGGCTGGCCTCGAACTCAGAGGTCAGCCTGCTTCTGCCTCCTGAGTGCTGAGTAACATTAATCATATAAACTCTGTATTAAGGCATAAATTTGTATAAGGCTATTGTGAAAATGAAAGGGTTGTCAGGGGACAGAACCTATGAGCACATTACCATACATTGTGTTAGTTGTCTAACTGCCTGCACCATAACTACAGATATTTTAGTCATCATGAAGGAGATTTCAATATATCAATTTCACTTTTGAGAACACAGGATATTCATTATCAGATGAGAGCCATGAGTAGGAGAGCCATTGATTTTCATTCTAACTTAAATACTGACTTAACAAAGATAAAAATACAGCTATTATATAAAATATACTTATCTAACTGTATTGTAATTTTCACTCCTCAACTGAGTGTTTCCCTCATTGCCTGGGTATTTTTGTGAAATCAGATCATGTTTGTTTTGTACACATTCTGTCTTCTGTGTTTAGAGCAGGGTAAGTGAAATGTTAAATAAATGAGTTTAAGTAAGCAGATAGAAAACAAAAAGTGTGCATCTTTCAGAGCTGGCAGTATTTACATTTTCATATATTCCTGTAATGTATTTTAGTCATTTCCAGTCCCCTCATTGCCCTTTTTCATTTTCCTCCCTCTCCTGATGAAATCTTTCTGCTCGATAAGTCCCCATCCTACTTTCCTATCTTCTTTTTGCATGTGAGCCACTGAGTTTAATGCCCAATGCTTCTTGCCCAAGCATGGGTAGGAAGTTATTTAGGGGTGCAAAGGCAAGTTGTCAGTGGCTACACCACTGAAGAAAACGATACCCCTTCTCTAACTCCTATTAATTGGCAATAGTCTCTGTGGGCAGGGTGATGATGAAATATTGATGGAAACATCTTGTGCCAGTCTTGTGCAGCTACTACCTACAGCTGCAGTGAGTTCATGAGTGAAATGATTATTTCATGTCCAGAAGACACCTTTTTGTTTTACATCTCTCCTTTTTTCTTTTTCTGGGGGGGTATTTTTGAGACAGGGCCTCCCTGTAGGCCCAGCTGGCCTGGAACTCACTATGTAGACCAGGCTGGCCTTGAACTCACAGAGATCCACCTGCCTCTGCTCCCCAGTGCTAGGATTAAAGGAGTGCATCACTACTCTTGGCTGCTTTACATCTCTCTATACTTTGACTCATACATTTTTCAACGCCTCTTTTTCCCTGAACTTTGGAGTGGGTACTATAGCTATGACATTTACTATTTGGGGCTGAGCTATTTATCATCACTAATTCTCAGCATTTTGGCCAGTTACGGTTTTGCTTGAAGTATGTTGAGTGGTTGTTCTTTAGATATGGAATAAGGATTGAGAATTTTAGGTGTTTACTAAAAACACATAAAATCTTGGTGATAGAAAACCTTTTGGTAGTTACTGAAAATTTCTTTCCTTGTAGTTTTCCGGCAGTCTCAGTTACTGATGGTCATTGGAATGTTGTAAGTGCACATTATTTCCGTATTATCGAACTTTACAGAGACTCTTAAATACTTTAGTTGGGATTCTAACTAACTTCTCAAACTACATGTCAATGATACATTTAGTAGATATCAGTGAAGAGAGGCGTATTAGGAATAGCTCAGAATGATAGGATAGAAGGAACAGAGATTAAAAGTTAGAGTGGATTTATGGTGCATATCTCCCTGTTCCATAATTATCCATCAATTTTTTGTCTCCTTTGTGAGACTTTGAGACCCTTATAAACCAGATAATTTCTCTTTATCTTCTTTTTGAGATTACAGATTTATTTATTTTTATCACACAACATTTTGTATTTTTTCATTTTTACTGATTTTTTTGCAAATTTCATGCAAGATATTTTGACCACATATAGACCCCCTCCCCTATCTGCATGCCCTTAATACCCACCACCCAACTGCATATTCTTTGTTATATATATTTAGTCTTATATACTAAAATTTGTGTCCCCAAATGCCATTTGGTGTAAGTTGATGCACTGGAGCATGGTTAACTTACTCAGTCACACACTCAAAGAAAACTGACTCTCCCTCTACCAGCAACTATTGGTTGCCAGTAGTTCCTTGGCTAGGGTTGGGGCTTCTTCCCCATTTCTATGCTGAAATTTTGTAAGGCTTGAGCTTGTGTGGGTCTTGTGCATGATGTCACTATAGTTGTGAGTTCATATACTCAACTGCTTTACTTCTCAGTACAGTTTTTCTACTTGCTACATCAAAGTATAAAGTATATTGCATAGATTATTGAGGAGCTTCAAGACATGCCTTTTAAACTTCATTGATTCATTACACTTGCTGATGTCTACCATTATGATAGTGAACCAGGATAATCCTTGTTACCCTCCACAAGAGATTCCCAGTTTAGAGAGATACAAATAAATGAACACTTGTAAAACCATGGATAAGTGCAGTACACAAATATTCATGACCCATTTTAGGAGCACAGAAAAAGCATGCTTAGGGGCTAGAGAGATGGCTCAGTGGTTAAGAACACTGGGTGCTCTTGCAGAGGACCCAGGTTCAATTCCCAGGACCCACATGGTGGCTCACAGCCTTCCTAACTCCAGTTCCAGGAGATCTGATGCCCTCTTCTGACCTCTGTGGGCATTGAGTGACATGGGTGCTCCCACATACATACGGACAATACACTCATTCACATAAAATAAAAATCATAAATAAAATATGTATTTTTTTTAAAGGCATGCTTAACCAAGTGTGAAAGAGGTTGTGGTAGAATATGAATTTTTAATTGTACAGGGAAGCTGCACATATTAAATCTTAACAATATAGTTGCCTATACAAGGTCTACTTAGTGTCAACAGCAGCTAACATGCAAATGTGGATGAGGGAAATTTCACAAGATTCCACGTTTAGATGAAGAGAAAGGCAATTAATGACTGTTGAGAGAGGAAGAATCAGTTTTCTCATGTACGAGCTCCCCAATAGGTTAGCCAATCCCAATTGGTCTGCCATAAACACATGTATATACTAGCACCACTAAATGGACTCAGTAGGTTGTTTATAGTCACACACACACATACACAAAACAATAAAAACAACAACAATCAGAGGTAGAGAAATTGAGTGGGACTAGGGGATGTGGGAGGAGTGCAAAAGAGTAGGAGGGAGGGGTGGGAACTGATGTAAATATAGTACTCATGTATGGAATTTTGAAAAATAAGAAATTAAAAGGGTATCACTCTAGGCACTATTAGATATTAGACAGATCCTTTGTTGTAGTTAATATTTTATTATTAATATGAAAGATTCTAGGGCATAAATAACAAGTAGAAATAACTCAATTAAAAAAATCAATAGCCTTACCTTGCAAGAT